AGAGAGTAATTAACAATTCGTAAATTAATTATAATTATATAATTATCACTAGTTGTTTCTCATTATGTTTTTATATACAAATTCAATTGAGTATGAATAAAAGAAATCATAAATTTTTTAATGATTTTTTTGAAAGTGTTATTTATCAATTGTTAATACAATTTAATTAATAAGTATTTTTGAATACTTAATTCATTTATTTACATTCTTTCTTTTAACTAAACAGTTCATTAATAATGGCAAGTGAATACTACTTATCACTAAAAATAAAGGTAATTGTAAAAGATTAAAAAATGAATTGATTTATTTTTTGTTAAATTTTTATCATCATATCAACGCATTAATTCTGCAACAAGTTTTAATATAATTTCTTATGAACATGCTTCGATTAATAAATTAATGCCACAGCTACTATTGCTATATTTTATCACCAGATTTTATCAGAAAATAAGATAACTTGTTGTGTATGAAGCAATTATGATGCCAAACAATCACTCAGCATGTATACATCATCAGATAACTTGCAGTTATCAGTTAGTTTTATTGCATATATGTTGATTTAAATCATTTACAAGTTTACTTTTGTTCATTATTTAAATTTGATCTGTATAAAGGATATGAATATTTAATTTGCAAAGGTTTTATTTAAAATTATTGTGATAAGTATACAATTTTTTTGTAAAAACTTTAGTACTTGTTATAATTTGATATAATTATTTATTTATTTATTTATTTATTTACTTATTTATGTATTTTTAATCTAATTTTTATGAAAGAATCAGTGTAAAAGACTGAGTGAAAGAATATTATTACCATGTATTTATTATATATTGATGAGAGAGAAAAAGCAAAAAAAGAACTTTTTGAATGATTTTAAACAATTTAGAAAATAACAAATGACATATTCGAAGAATAAAAAAATGTCTGCAAAAAATTGTCAGTTCTTTTTTTTTTTTTTTGGTAAATTGTTGAAGAGTGAAAAGTGACGAATTATTAAATATTGTATAATTATCATTTTCTCGCTTGCAGTAGTAGTGAGTGAGTGAGTGAGTGAGTGAGTGGATGAATGAGTGAGCATGGTGTTATGCACAAACTACTGATTTGACCATTGTCCACTTTTTGTTATATAAATAATATTATTGCACATGCAGATGAGATAATCACTAAAAACGAGACATTTTTCTTGTTTTTTAACAATTGCCTCTTTGGATGATTTATAAAGGTAGAAAATTTTTCACATCTATTTGATGTAATACACAAAAATGTGATGATAATAAATAAATACGCTTTCATCTTAAAATGATCATTTGTATCTGATTTAATTCTTATGCATTTTACATTTTTCTTATCTTCTTATTATTATGATTTGTTTCAAATTTTATCTATTATAAATTATCTATGCTAATCTCTAAAAAGTTAACAATTTTCAATGCAATATGAATGAGTATTATCAGTAGATATTATCAGTAGATAATACTCATTCAGTTTTTTTACTGTTTTTTGTAGCAAATTTTATACTTACAACTGACTAATTATCATTTCATATTCATATTCATTTCTATCAATAATATATATATTCCATTTAAACTATGTTAATAAGTAGTCATTAAATGTATTATTGATACCAACAATATATTTTTATTGCATATATATTTGATTATTATTTTAATCGGAATATGAATAATATTGACTGTCAAAAAAAGTTCTCAGAATGGTTTAATCTTACGCATTTTAAAATGGTACAATGCTAGAAAAATTTGCATGTTCAATTCCTCAGGCCTAATTAGTGATAGAATGTCAAAAAGATAAAGTTTAACGCTTCAAATATTTTACTAGCATTGAATGTAAAGTTTATTTAATGAAACAACTTGGTAGAGCAAATAATAAGTAAATTATTCAAATTAGCACCTTTGTTTTTTAGATATAAGCAGATTAATTATTTTTTATTGAATTTTTGAAAACAAAATTACTTTATTTATTTTTATTTTCAAATAATCAAAAAGTATCTATTTCAAATTATGCACATGAATGTTATTTTCTTTTCAAAAATTACTTCTAAATATTGCTCATGAATATTTTGCATGGCGTTTAGTATAATTTGCATTCGAAATTTATATTAACAATATTTAATTTTTTTATATTAATTAAATTATGCATTGTTTTACAGTTTACTGAATAGCAGAGCTTGTTCTGAAAAACTATAACGAACTTTTTAAATTCCTTACGAAGTAAAAGTGATTCAAACAAAAAAATTATTTATACGAACATATACGTACGTGTAATTTTTATTATTAACGAGCTCTTATATTGAATTAATATTTTAGACGTATTTGTGAAAAAAAAGCAGAAAAAAAAATTATGAACAAGCATATTTGGATGGCAATGTTATGCGTTATAATATTTTACTTGATCAGTACAATCGATGCAGGACCAAATCGACAGATTCGACCACGTATGTATTTACTTTTAGTTTCTTGTTGACGTGTGCTTATTTTAATAAGTATGAAAGCTTTTCACATCTTACTGTTGCTTTACTAATTCTTTATGCTGTGAATTCTCTATAATAATTAAATTTTCAGCATTTTTTTGAATAACACTTGCATTTTTTCGGTGAATTAATTCAAAAAAGATGTTAAAATTAATCGTTATTAAGGTCTTCTTAAATAATTATAAAAGTTTTTTTATCAATGTATACTATCGTAAATTTGAAGAACAGAAAGATGACATTTTGATAATTAAAGATAATTATCTAAACGAGCAAATTAGAAAGTTTACGTACTAAGAAATTTACATATAACAGAAATCATCTAATTCAATCATGTAATTCATGCTTCCATAATTTTTGCTAATATAATTTGTTAAATCAAATATGCTTACAAGTTTCATTCTGATTTAACTTTTACTAAGCTTAGTTGAACTTAATTGTATTAAAGATTTCAGAGTGATTTTTTTTTCAGCACTTGAACAAATGCCTTGCTTTTCAAACCTTTGCAATATTAATTTAAATATTGAATTTATCTCATCAACTCTTTCCTTATTCATATAATAAATAAAAGTTACAAATTATCTTATTTAAAAAAATTATTGACTACTTTTTGAGTATTCATTAATGATAATTGTATTAGTTATTACTATTTAATATTAAAAAATTTTAATTTTATTTATTTATCTCATCTGAAAAATAATTTAAAAATTGTAGTAAAATAGGAAGAAATTTTACACAAATTAAATGAAATATAGGCATTTCTATTACTTGTCAAACTTTATTTTTTAAATGGCTTTGACTGCGCAACTATTAACTTCTGAAAAGTTCTCGAAATAAACTTGTTTATAATACAAAAATTTGATAATTTTGCGGAGCTATAATAATGACAGAATCTGAAATTGATAAAGTGTATGTTGCAAATTGTATAAAGTAGTTTTGTTTCTTTTTTTGGTGAAAAAGAAAAGATAAACGTACTGATATGTTATCACTATACTTAATGCTGCATATATATTTGTTTAAACTTTCAAGTTTCTTTGCAAAGATAGAAAAGATAATGACAATTTATTAAAGTGAAGTAAAAACAATAAAGAATGAAAAAGAATTATTCTTTTTTTTTCTTTTAATAAAAAAACAAGAATTAAAATTCTTTTGTAAAAAAAAAAATTTTTATTTCAAAGATTTATTCACTTTTCAAGCTTTTCTTAAAAAACTTTTTGTCCTTACTTAATTTTTGCGCACAATTTCTAAGCAAGTAAACATTAATTGTTACTTGTTTTATTCTCCTTAAATTTCTTTTTCTTTTAGCAAATGAAATAATAAACAAGTCTAAAAAGACTGCTGCGTACGTTTAAAAATGAAGCAAATTGTTATTGAAAAACTTTTAAGTTATACTTTAAGTATCAAAATTATTCAAAATTTTTTAACTTTTACTCACGCATTTTTAAAATATAATTTTTTTTTCTTTTTTTAACTAAAAAGTGTACAAAAACTTTTTTCAAAATGTGAAAGTTGATAAATTATTGAAAAAATTAATCAAATATTGAAAATATTTTCATTATCAATGCAAAAAATTTCAAATATCACAGCTATAAAATGTCTAAATGAAATAAAATTAAGTGAAATACTTCACTAATTAGTTTTTGGGATTTATTTTTCATTTGTTAATTTAATTTGAAAAGCGTTTCAAAAAAAAAACAATAGCAAGAAGTTGAAATTCGAATTAAGTTGCAAAAAATCAGCATTTGTGATTTTGTAACTGTTAAAAACAAATAGTAATTCACAGATTTTTTTTAGCACAAAAATTAGTCACGAACTTTACTTCAAATGTCATTTCAAAGTTTACGATAAAAGTTGTGAAAAAAATTGAATTACAATTACTTCAATCGTTAAAAAATTATAGTTACAGTCAATGCATTATACTAATTTGCGTTTTTTTTTTTTTTTTTTACAAAAACAATTTATTTTGTATATTGTTTTTGTAAAAAAAAATATACAAAATAAATATAGAAAATTATTGGTAAAAAGCTGTAAAATATTAGAATTTTTCAAATATTTAGCTGATATTTTATATGATCAATATATGGATGCTGTGTGTAATAGAAAACAGTACTTTTTAAATATTAAAAAAATAGATAAAATATGAATAAAGAAAGTATTCATTTAATCAAGATAGAGATTAATTAAGATTTGGATATTCAAAAAGAATATGTAATGCTTTAAATATTGAGGAAAATTTTCTTTTAAAGCTGCTCATTACCAAAACTGTTTAATTTTACAAAACTTTACAAAGATTTTTAATCAAAACAATGAAAGAAACTACAGTGGAACAATCTTATGGTAGCCTAAACTGTTCATAAAAGATCATTTGCATGCATATTTTCTAGAATTAATGTGTATAAATTGTAAATTACTTGATATGAATGAAAAAAAAAGTATTGTCATAAAAAGTTATAAAATTTCAAAAATATTACTTTTTCGAAAAAGTTCGCATATTAAAAATTGTTATTTAAATGGAATGAAGAATTTGACAGTCTTCATTCCAGAATGTGCAAATGATCAGCTCTTGGTATATGTAAATGCAACAGAATTAGATAGAAAAAAGTATGAAATCGAGCGAAAAGAAGCAGATTCTCTACTTGAATGCACTAAAAAGTGCTATGAGAATCCTCGTTGTACTTCGCTAAAATATCGTGAAGCAGATTCTGATGGGTGCTCATTGACTACTTTCACTCCAGTATCTTGCTATCATATTACTTTAGTACCCGTTGCTGAAATCAAATATGATCCTCATACTCTTATCACTATCGAATGCTTGAAATGTCAAGCAAAAAAAGACTTTGATCCAAGTAAGAAATCTAACCTTAAAGAGTATTAGTTATTATTATTAGTATTAATAATAATAATATTATTATTATCATCAATTGATTAATTATTATCATTCTGCTTACTTAACGGATGAAATTATATGCAATCATTAACATTATTACAAAATCCATTTCCGATTTTAGAAATCTTTTTGAAATATTTCAAATTGAACGTAAAATTTAGTCATTTCTACCCTCAAATTTATAATTTATTAATCTTTAACTTACTTAAGCACTTTTACTTACTTTTTCGAGAACAGTTAGACAAATAAAAATCCTAATTTAATTAATAGATCATTAATGAGAACTAAAAACAATATTTGTTATTTCATCTTGAAAGCATTGAATGACCTAGTATGGAATTACTAAACTTTTATTAATTCCGATTTGGCTAAATTTTTTAGTTGGGCTACTGCCAATGAACTCGGCATTATCATCACAAGTACTTACAATTTCGTCGTCAATCGTACAAAATGCACACACTTCTTTTGATGCTTCACTTTATGCTTGTGTCCCTTCACGTGAGATTTTTTTTTCTTACTTATATTTACATCACTTAATAGATCGTAGACTTTGTTTCAACTAATTATAGACATTATGGCTGCATTTAACTGATCTAACAAACAATGACTAACAAAAATTGCTCTCATCTAATTAATGGCAATAAATTTTAGCAATTTTAGTTTTAAATTTATAAACAACATCAAAATATAAAATAATACATTTAAGCAAGTAATGAAGCAAAAAAAAAATTCAAAAGTGCTTATTTTTTTGAATTGACTTTCTCATTGTTACCGTTTCAGAATAGAAAAATAAACCACTGCATAAGTGATATATCTTAGCTTGACCAGTGATATATCTAGTCTATCTTAGCTTGATCAGTGATATATCTAGTCTATCTTAGCTTGATCAGTAATATATCTAGTCTATCTTAGCTTGACCATCAGTTACCTTGATCACATCTGCTTTATAAAAAATTAAACATCGTTTGCCATGACATCCTTGAACATAATATTCAATTATTTGAAAACTGTTTCAAATAAAAAAAGACTAATAGGCTTAACCTTGTAAGTCTGCTTCAAATTGTTCAATTTACAAACCAGTGGTGGTACTGCAAAACTTTATTTTATGTATAAGAAATGAAATAGTGTTAAAATGATCAAAATGAAATTAAATAAGAGAAGCAAACTTATTCATTTATTCACAAAAAGTGGTGCTTACATAAAGTACTGCTTTCTTTGTTTTTGTTTAATTCTTTATTACTTTATTTAAAAGTCCAGATTTGTTTCAAGCAATAAAATTACTTTTTTCAAATTTAGATCAATCAATTATTGATATTGAATATGATAACTGAACTCTTAATAAGTTCAATATGTTTATTGAAGTTATTAAAGTTTCTATAAAATTTTATTTGTAAGAAATCAACTATAAAATAACACAATATCAATAAAATTTTTGCAGCTTAAGTTAGAGTGAAAAATAGAAATATTATTAAAATTTTTTGATAATAAAACTGTAAAAAACTTCGACAAACACAGGTATGAGATGTCATGAAGATTTATGGTTTATTCCAAAAGTAGTAACGGATTTATCAAGTCTCGACTCTATGGAAGTTGTCATTACTACTGATTCTGCTAGCGATTGTGCAAGAAAATGCTTTGATGAGTGCTGTACGGTAAGAATGCGTTTGCCCACATTTTTTGTATAAGTTTGGCATTTTGTGGTGAATTATTAAAAATTATTTGAATATCAAAAAAGTAATAGCTTACATAGATAGAAAGTAATAACTTTGCTATAATATATAATAAGTATTAAAAAGTTTCATTTAGCTTAAATAGAAAAATAATATTCGCAGTTTTATTTTTGCAAGTTCAAAATTTTAATTCTGTATACAACAATCATTCATTGATAACTATACTATTTAATAAACATAATTCCATACACACACACACACACACAATTTGCTCTATTATAATTTGATAAGAAAAATCATTTATTCTTTACTGAATACAATTTTTTAAGTTTGATAATCCTTTTGTAGTTATTTGTTGTCACTGAAATGTATTATTTATACAATTCTATGCAAGACAATTCTCATAACTAATAAAATACTTTCTTAGGCCGCTGCTTATTCACTTATCGAAAAAAAATGTAAATTTACAAATGAAAACTGGGATAGTACAAATGGAAGTACTTGCAGTACTGAAGTACCAGCATCTTACGTGAATCACTACAATGGTTCATAATTAATAACTTTTTGTAGTTTGAATTTATCTGCCAAGTAATAAAATTTTTATCATAATTAATTATTTTTTTAGTCATTCATCATATAAATTATCAAAATTACGATGCTTAAATTGGATTAAATTCTGTAAGCAATTTTATTTACAAAATGAATAATTGTTTTGCTGAGAAAATGAAACAAAAATATGTAAAATAATATTACTTTTGCTTTCGATATTTTAGCACTGATTATTTATTTAATTTTTTTAAGAATCTAATTGGATATTGATAACATGCATAACATGTAGTTCCTCATCTCAGATCAAATTTTCGCCAACAACACAATCTGTAAACAATGCTTTGAATACTGGTAAAATTTTTTTGAACTTATTTGAAATGAAATTGAAAGCAATAATTTGCTGTGCATTTTAAAAAGTAAATGAAAAAATTATGATTGATATTAATAGAATATTAGCAATAACATTATTTTTATTCTAGCATAATATATGATAATACGATTTCAGAGCAATCTCTACAAACTTCTTCAAATATTGACAAAACAGAAATCGACAAACGATCAAAAACAATAATTACTGATAGTTCACAGCAAGTAACAACTGCAGCTCCTGCTTTTCCATCTGGTTTATCAAATGAATTTAAAATGTCAACATTAGGCGGTCAATACTTCGAAAGAAGTATTAATTTATATTCATCTTCTCGTTTTAATTATTTTATGATTTATTCGCTAAATATCAAAATATGTTATCAAATTACAATTAATAAATACAATTTCAGCCTGCATTACTGTATTTGAAGTAGATCCATATGCTGATGTAACCAGTTTTGTGCCTGATGATCGGGTACCAGCCACTAGGTATCTTTTCCAAAATATATTCATTTAAATGTAGTCAAAGTTTCATAGAAAATCCTATTATTTCAAAAAGTATGAAAACAGCTGTTAGAAATGAAAAAGTAATCAAAAAATAATAATAAGTAAACTTGTAGTAAAATAGAAAATTTTTATTAAATCCAGTATTAAGTCATTACAAAACTGATAAACGTGTTTATGTATAATGCTTCAGATGTCGTAAGTTTTCACAGAAAGATTGCATGCTTAATTTTATTGAAAGAAATTAAGAATTCATTGAATCTTAAATTGTCTAAGATTTCTCAGCAAAAAAAATTTGATATTGCAGAGCTGATCAATGTGCTTATTTATGTTATCAAGATGCTTGTACCGCAGCTGTTTTTGTACCACCAGAAAAACCTAAGACAAAAGGCATGTGCGAGAGGCAATTTCGTAGTACCGAAAAGTGTAATGTTACGTTATCATGGAACTACCACTACAAAACTGATAAACGTGTTTATTTACAATGCTTCAGATGTCGTAAGTTTTCGTAATTAACATAATTTTTATACATATTAATGCTAATTTAAAACATCGTAATTAGAAAATCTTTAAATTTAAATAATTTTTTTTTTCGAATTTTCTATTAATTAATAAAGGGAAAAAATTGAATATAAAACAAAAGGGAAAAAATTGAATATAAAACAAAATATTTCAGTTCCTGAAAAACCACAAACAATACCTCATCTAGAAAAAGTAACGCAGGGACCATTTACATCAGTGAAGAACGAATTTGTAAAAAAAGAAGAAGAACATCGAGAAAGCAGTACTTTATCACTTGATAAAGCATCTGTAACTTCTTATACAGAAAGCATACCAACATCTGTAGCAAAGTCAGAAGAAATTGAAAAAGGTATATCAGTAACTGATTCCAATAACAAGGAAAGCTTAGAATTGATGTCATCTCAAAAAATTGACGAAGGAGAAAGCAGAGAAGAAGTTAGACGAGGATCTTCAGTTGCAACATCTCAAGAATATAGCTTTGATATCCAAACACCAGCAGCAATATTTTCGTCAGAAACTTCGACAACTGCAAGTTCAACAGAAGAAAGCCTAAGTAAAATTTCTACACTTGAAACACATTCTGAAGCTGATCTTGCATCAACAACTTCTGAAGCTAATCTCGCATCAACAACTTCTGAAGCTGATCTTGCATCAACAACTTCTGAAGCTGATCTTGTATCAACGACTTCTGAAGCTGATCTTGTATCAACAACCTCTGAAGCTGATCTTGTATCAACAACTTCTGAAGCTGATCTTGTATCAACAACTTCTGAAGCTGATCTTGCATCAACAACTTCTGAATCTTCAACCGTATTTTCAACATCCACCACAGAAATGACGGTAGAAGAATCAAGCACAGCTGAATCTGCAACATTTGAAAAGATTCAAATTACAACGACTGGATTCAGTAGCAGCGATGCTTCAGCAACAAGTGCGCATACAGTTTCTGATAATTTGATCTCAAAAGAAGGTATTGAAGAGTCGGGTGGTCTTGAAGATGTGACACAATTGACATCGAAAAAGCCAGAAGAGAAAATAGTTGAAGAATTTACCACAGAACAACCAGAAATTGAAGTGGAATCAGTGTCATCCACGAAAACAAGTACAGTAGTGAGTGAAACTAAAGAAAGTAGTGAATCTGACAAAAAAAATGATTCTAGATCAGCACTGCCCGCAACTGATTCACCCCATCGTTATCTACAAGGTATGATATTTCTAAATTGATTGCTGAAAACAGTTTCAAATGATCAATCAATTAGTAAACTATTAATGCATTTCCAATAATAAAAGAAGAAAATGCACATTGAATAATATGATTCTTGCCAATTACTGATGATTATTTGCCACAGGATGCATTGTGACTTTCCAAGCTGATCCATACAGTGAATTAACTGACAAACTTTCTAATGGTTTCCAAGCTTCAACAATAGTTCGAACTGTAGAAGCTTGCGCTGGACGATGCTATCAAGTTTGATTTAGTCTTGAAATTAATTTGAAAAAACGAATTTTTAATATCAAAATTTATTATCGCAATAAATGAATTTTAGGATGGTTGTACTGGAGCTAAGTACGATCCATCTACAAAAGAATGTACTTTAAAATACGGTGGAAAACAATTTTGCAACTCAAAACCTGAGCATTTCTTTTATGAAGCCAATGAAACTGTTTGGATTCATTGCACTGGATGCAGTATGTTCTTATTTTGCTCAGCTAATCATTTTTATCACTTTTCTTCTTACCGTATCAATTTTTATTCAGATTCTTAATGATTCATGAATTTGTGCTATTGTGAATATGAAATTTTTAGAACTGCATAAACCTGGAGAGAAAGGTGTTGATATCCTTATTTTTCCATCTAAAAGTTAGTTTGCACTAATTATTGAAATTCATATCTTAGTCAATCATTATTTTGTAAATTAGTGGATAATACAAACTGAAGCTTTGAACCATTTTGAATAACACTAAAATTCAACATTTTACTTTTGTATATTATACATATTTTTGATAAAAATTATGACAGCTTTTATCATTAAATAAATAATGTCTAAATATTCAAAAAATTGACTCACAACTCCACTGTAAGTGAAGAAACAATTAAATTGCTGAGATATAATAAATGAAAAGTTTTCAGCATCGAAGAAGATAAGCACTCCAAAACATGAATTACCAATTAGTGAAGGTTCTGAAACGGAAAAACCTGAAGCAGAATTATCAAAAACAAAAGAAACTTCTACAACAGTATCAACAACTGAATTCTTGCCAACGGATAAAACATCCATCGATTCAAATGCTATCACTTCGACAACCGAATTAAATAAAATAGAAGATATAGACGAAAAGTTACAGATGCAATCACAAATTTCATCTTCATCGACAGCTGGACTATCAGAAATAGAAGTGGATAAGCAAACGACAGAAATGCCACAATCTCTCGAAGTAACCAGCCCTGACAGTATCACTACCAAAAAAAGTATTGCTGAAACTACAGAAATGGAAAATTCATCATCAGTATCTACTTCATCTAGTCAGGCTACACCTTCTATTTCAAGTAAATCATTGTGCCACTTTTCCAAGCGTTGTAATAAATACTGGTGAAAATTCAGCATCATTGAATTTGTGGAACAAAATTTATGCTAACATTTTCATTATTAAGTTAGCAAAGAGAAAAAATTTACAATTATTGTAATCATTTACAAAAGACAAACACCATAAGGATTTATTTTGTTTTAATCACAAAGTAATTGTTTCTTATTATCATTATTATGATTATGATTATGATTATTTCAGATTGTAAAATATATTTCCAAGCTAAACCCTTCATCGACGTCCAATCCAATTTGCAGGCTTCTGAACTTGTTTTACTTGGAACTACACAGTCATTAGAAGAATGTGCTCAACGCTGCTATCAGGTTTTTATTTTTTACTTTCCAACTTTTATTACAATAAATCTTTCATTATTACAATTATACTTTGAGTTGGCCTTTAATTATACAATATATAATAGATTTCTTCCTGCCATAATAATACTTTCAAATTCTATTTTTTCATCGTAATAATTTCGTTTTATTTTTTCAGTACTATTAATTTCAGGATGGCTGCACTGGTGCTAAATTTGATGTAGTGTCAAAAGAATGCTCTGTTAAGTATGCTGACCATCAACAATGTGATGAATATGAACAACATAATAACACTGAAGATGCTACAATAATATGGATTCAGTGTATTAGTTGCAGTGAGTAGCTTAATTTTTTTGTTCTTTCACTATAATTCTGTTAATTTTCAATATCAATTTCTGTACTTCAGTAAACAAATTAAGCTTACAAAATCATTTCATTTTAGCTTTAATAAGTGTAAAGGTAAAAGGACAAGAATAATGTTTTTTAGGGCAAGAGTCATTTGAAAGTACTTTGGGCTTATTACTTGAAGACACTACTGCTTCATCAGGTTAAATTATAATGTTTTAGTATTCTTGCAATTTAAAAATTGGAAATATGAATGAAATCATTCGGTATGAGAACAATTTATCATGAATTTTGATATTTTTCAGCAATAACAGCTGAAAGTACTGCACAAAATCTTGAATTCAGCGAAAGTTCTACAGATTCTGAACCTCAAGAAATGAAGGAAAAGTTTGCTACATCTATAAGTCCAGATTTAATTTTTGCGTCATCAAAAGGCATTGAATTGGATTCTACAATGGATAAAAAGATTCATAGCGGCAATGAAAGTGTATTCTCTATTGCTCCTACTACAATCACAACGCAAGCAATAGAAAATTTTACAATAAATAGCGGACCAGAATTAAATACAGATCAGATAGTTGTAGTGTTAGATCAAGATAGAACAAGTACAACGAAATTACCAACAGAATCGCAAACAAAATCTTTAGATACTTCAAATGCTGAAAAAACAGGAGCTACACAATTGACAGCAAGTGATGTCAGTGGAAGTGAAGAGCACAGTAGGGAAAAAGTAGGAAGTGGTGAAGAATCAAAAGAATCTGTGGGTTCGACAAAAACTCAAGTTCATACAGAAGAAACGACAACTATTAAACCGGAACTTTTGCTTTTAATGACTGCAAAAGCACCATTGCATATTCCTAGTGATAATTTTGAGAGCCATGATCATTCTACAAGTACCATTCATCCTTCTTTGCTCGAAGAAGGAGCAAGCACTGAAGCAATAACACAAAAAACAGAATCTGATAACTGGAAAGAAGAAACAGTATCTGCTGATTTCAGTTTTGCAACTGAAGCAAACAAAATCCCAGTTTTAGGTAGCATCCACGCTTCATCTCATGACGAAGAAAAAATAACAAAATCAGAGCTAACAAATACTGAATCTGAGAAGATGGCTAACTTAGGCTTTACAAAAATGGCATCAACTCATTCTGATGCTATTGCAGAAATGCAATCAGAAACGTCCCATGAGATAAAGGTGACTACTGAAGCTTCGGAAATGTTAAGTACAGTAACAGGTGACACATCTTCACCATTTCATGAATCACTTGCTGCATCCACTGAACATGCTGATTTAAACTCGCCTCAAAATACACAAGAACTTGGAGGGCTGTGGGTTGCAGAAGAACGCACTTCATCAGTCGTTGTAGAAACTGCATCAACAACAGCGAAAATTGAAGATACAACAGCAGAAAATACCTCTGAGTCAAGTGTTTCATCGAGCTCATTGGATGCAGAAGTGACCACTGAAAAAGATGACAATTTTGTAACTAGCACTCAAAAAAGTGACCATCAAATTCTTAATAGTGAATTTGGAATATTCGGCAAAGCATCTGAAGAGGAGATAAGTACAAATGAAACTCCTCATTCTTCTCAAACAACAAACAAGAATGAGAAAGACTTATCGGCAGAAGAAAATATCGATGATGTTATCAAAAAAGTAGCTCACGAAACTTCTGCAGAAAAAATTTCTATAACTACTTCTGAGCCAGCAATTCACACTGAGTCCTCAGAATCAACATTGGAACAGCATGAAACTGAAGCAACAATTGATTCAAAATCCCTTACTAAGTCATCAACGCATCAAGGTAATTTTACTTGAGATATGAACAGCAAAGCAACAGTTTATTCCATATTATTTATTCATTATTAACTTATTGTTTAATTTTACATCTTAAAGATAACCAGTAAAGTTGAAAATGGCTTAAAAAAATGCTATATTAGTGCTATATGAGATATTACAGATGATTTACATGAGACAGTCTTGAATGCATCAAATTTAAAAGATAACACAAATGAAATAGACTTTGTGACGGGCATGATCGGATTGGAAACGACAGGTAAAAATGTATTCAAACACAGTTACTAAAACTTATTTGCTTTTATTCATAAAATTTTTAGTACTTAAATTCATTAATGAAAAATAAATATTTTGAGTCATATTTTATCATTAATAAACGAAAATACAACAGCAGAGCCACCTGTTGAAGCCGTCTCCGATTTGGTCAGTATACTCAGTTACAATTCAGATATTAAAAATGTTTTCGATCAAACTTCAAAATCATCTGACTACGGCAAAGGTTCACTTTTCATTGTTTTATGTATTGTTTATGAAGAAAATTAAATTAGGCTAACAGTCTTTATTGTATGAAAAATTTTTGACTATTTTCCTAGTAAATCAGTTATAAGTTTTTTGAAATATTTGTTGCACTTAATATTGTTAATTAGTATTACTTTTAGCCTTTTTTAAAATATTTTTATGCTTATCAATTTACTTTTTCGCTTATCAAAAATACTTTCATGCTTATCAAATTTATGCTTAATAATAAATAGATGAATAATAGATTTACTGATGCTGTAAAAAAATATTAGAGAACAAATTAAGAACTTGGGAGAAAACTTTTGCTACAGAAGTAAAATTATTTTTAGAATCAGATGTACATGTAATCCATAATTTGAGTACATCAAAAGAAAAAACTATACAAGTTCCGCTTATCAACTCGATTCTACAATCCAGACATAATGCTGACAGAAATTTCGATCGTGAAAATATTAAATTCACTTCGCAAGGTTAATTATTGTATGAGATTACATTCAATGTTACTCACGTTCTTCGTTTAATTTTTTAACTTTAATGTGCTGTTATTCGCATTTATTTAACATGCAAAGTTTTATTTTCTTTAATGCTTCCTCTAATTTTATACAAAGTTAATTTTGTACAAACATTAATCCTTTTAAATATTAAATTTTTAAAATAATGACATTTTTTGATTTATTATTTTAATTTTCTCAAACTGACAAAAAACAAGATGAAATTTTAACAGTTGAAAGCTTTAATAATAATGCGTCAGAAAGTTGGATGTAACAAAAATAATACGATGCTGAGGGAAATTAAATAACAAATAGGAACCTTTTCAGAGACTTTTCCACTTCCTCAAGTCCACATTAAAATGCAATGAGAGAGCTTTTCAGGCTGCTTTGCTTCAAACTAGCTGATAACGAAGTTAATCACATGACCCCATTGACCTGTACTAACCTTTCACCTTCATTCGTTTGGCCAGTGCGTTTACTTCTCACCATTTTTTTACAAGTTGCTGCATTCTTTTGTACCCTTGACCAGTCTTACATTAACGAACAACAAAATCAGTTAATCATTTTAATACAAATCTGATTTAAAGTAATAAATTATTAATCGTATTATTTCATCAAAATTAACTAATTATTTATTTCAGAATCATCTTCGATATGCCCTGGTCGCATTGAATTTGAAGTATCAACCTTTAGTGGGCTTCCAAAACTGAATAATATTACTAGTGAAGTGAACACAGAATCACCAGCTGACTGCGCTGAAAAATGTTACAGAAATGTATGATTTGTGATAATTTATTTACATATTAATGCTCGTACTTATTTATTGCAAGTATCGCTTTTTTTTTTCTCTTTGTGTGTGTGAATTCAAGAAATTCATTAAAATAGCTTATAAGTATGATAACAAAAATAAGATAATGATTGAAAGTGATAATATCAATCAAAACTAATTTATGCTTCTTAAAATCATTATTATTCGTATGCAAATATCATGCATTATGCAGGCAGAATGCGTGCTTGCTGTATTTGTACCGACTAAAGTTGGAGATACAACGATTAGTGCAGTATGCATGCTAACAAGTGATCCAGGAATATGTTCAGATGAAGGATACTTTGTACCTCAGCACACAGCTGAAAATGCAATCATCATAAGCTGCTTGAAATGCACAAGTATAGACTTTATTATTACTGCTATTAGTGATTGACTTGACAATAACGATCTAGCAGATTATTGCTTACCATTTTTGATTTTTTGTAATGTTAATTTTTATTTAACAATATTATTTATCAAAATTTTTATCATTGTAATACTACACAAAAAATACTAATAAATTGTAAATAATTTTTATTTAACATAATAATTAACACTAATTAACTATGAACTATTTTCGTTTAGAATGCAACTACACAGTTACTCCTGTAACAGAATTAACAAGGATAAAAGAACCAAAAAAGATTGAACCAGTACTTTCTGCCGAACAATGCGCAAAATTATGCGCAAAGGAAAATTGCACCTATTCACAATATGACCATAAAGCAAATCTTGTGCGTATTTTTGCTAAATTATATAACAAGCAATGATTAATAGTTTTAAATAAATGATAAGTTAAGGATGATTACGGTAAAATAAATAAAAAATATGACTAAGATAAATGATGATTCATGCATACATAGTTAAAATTATTTTCAATACTTATAATTATTTTATTTATTAATTTTTATTACACAATGTAAAATATTAACAGCAAGTATTTCAGTGTTCATTGGAATCATCTATAAGTCATGAAAAATGCTCAACAGAAATGCCAGTAGCTGTTAATGGTGATGAACCAGTATTACTGGAATGTGTTCGTTGCTTACCATAATCTGTATAATATACTGTACATCAGTGTTTCTGTTTTAGATACATTGTTTTCAACGATATATTTAAAAACTTTTTTCATCAATTAATGCTTACCATGAAAAAAATTTTTAAAAAAAAGCAGACAATCTTTTAAATTTTTAATTTACTAATCAAAATTTTGCATTTTTTTTAAAAATTAATTAAGCAGTAGCATTTTGCTTGTTTCATCAACACAAATATTCATAAGAATCTCTATTTGGCAAGCAAAATTTGTTATTTCTATTTAAGACTGGCAATTTTTGCCTCAATATTTTTAAAAATTAATCAAAAAAATTTCGCACAAGCAGTACATTTGTCAAAAAGTCAAGTTTTGAGATTTAAAATTGCTTATCAGATAATTTAATAATTTCATGATGTCTGCCCTTAATTGATTCATTTGCCAATCTGTTTTTGATACTACACATGTACCCGAATCCGAAATTAAAAAATTTTTTAAAGAATAATTACCAAAATATATATTATTATTGTTATTATTATTATTATTACTATTATTATTATTTCTATTATTATCATGGTACAACGATTTCTCCACTATTCTTACGACAACTTTACTACTTAATTGCTTTAACTTCTATTTCTTCAGCCATTTGTTGCAAGCAGTCAAATACTTTTTCATAGAATTAAAGTGATTATTTTTAACACTTACAAAAATATTGTCTGGTGATTACGAATAATAATAATAACCTTTTAATATGGTATAATTGATAGAGACGAATAAACTCCCTGTAATCTGATGCTCTAATTTTTTTCTATCGGGTGTATTTAATAACATTTTTATCATCTCTTTTCCATTTATTTTTAGTAATACATTGTCGAATGTTTGTATTATCATTATCTCAACACTTGATTATTGCTTTTAATACGATAATATTTTATTGTTATTATTATCATTATTATTACTTTCATTTTTATAATTATTCAAACTAATAATGTTTTTTTCTAATCAAGTAAACTATTTGCTCAAAAAAACTTCTTCACAGAATAGTCATGACAAATGAAGCTCTACTTAGTTGGAAGGCAACTTGAAATCTGCAAAAAAAGAAAAAAGATTTTACAGTGATGCATTATTAATTAGAAAAATGATGAATTAGTTTTAAAATCTTTGAAATGATTTTTTTCAGGCAGTCAAAACCACAAAACTTTATACTTTTATTTACAATATTTAAAAATAATAAAACTGAATCAGATTCAATTTAAGAAACAAATAATTTTTGCAAAAGAACGAAATGACAGCAACATTTTTATTTTTTTGCATCATTTCCACATTCTTGAGATTTCTTCGCAGCTACTACTAAATCGCAAGATGGAATAGTACTTGCTGACAACAAGAATTGAGAATCTGATTTGCTTGTAAGAGCGCTCGATGAAATCGCTAGATATAAAAGTTGTAATGAGCTTTGAACAGGTTATTCATGAAATAACAACAAATTCAAAAATTACAGTTTTAAATTTTTGAATACAATAAAGAAAACAAACCACTATTCGTAGATGCAGTACTTCTTATCGAACTCACATCCAAATTACTGAATGATAACTTTGGTGCACTTGTTGAAGACGATAATTTTGAATTGAAATCATAAATGCTACTTGAACGGGATGATTGCTAAAAGTTTTTTTTTCAACTTAATTTTTTGAGAAGAAATCAATAAATGGTAAAAACAATCAATAAAGCTGATTTTCTCTCAATAGACAATTAATTTAATAATATTTTGCAAATTTAAAACAAAAAAAATTTTTTTTAAAACATTTTTTCAATATATTATTATTGCTTTTGTATTTATTTTTCAATATTATAGAAATGAAATTTTTAAAATTGACTAATCAGATTTGGTAAACTTTTTAAGTGTAAAATCAATCATTTGCCTTATCCATGATTACTCTTGAATTAGCAGCAGGACTTCCAGTAAGGTGAACTGTTGACAGCTGCAAATAAATATCAACAATTATAGATAAATATGCAGACTACTGTATGTCATGTTGCGCAGCAAATTAGATTTTATGATTAAAAGTATAAAACTTTGTAAACATAATTTAATATTTTATATGAATTATACATTTTTCAACTTTCAAAAGACTTACTTGAACACGTAGTTTGGCGAGAAAGCGTCTCATTACAATAGTAATTTCGTCGATTTCATCTACTGTTGGCACATTTAAAGATGTACAATCAATGGTTCTCATAGCTGGCATAAAACGAACTTGTTCCAATTTTCGCAAAGCTTTATTCAAATTTACGACTGTCTGTAATAAAAATTTGCTCTTAGTTAAATCAAAATACGATACTTTATTCCTATGCAAAAAAGGATTAATAATAAAATAAGCATAGAAAAAACTAAAAACTTTTTTCTGTAATCATTTTTTTGAATTGCAAAATCTTCAAAAGAATTGAAACTACAAAAATGAATATTTGAGAAAAAATTAGTTTTAATACTTAATTTCAGATTTTAGAAATTATTTACTATACGAATTATGCAAATAAAATTTTCTTACTTTTTGATAGCCATCAATAATTTCACAAACACCATAAAAGCTTGCATCAGATTGTTTATCGCTTGATTGTTTAATTTGCTTGCGAAAATAAATATTCATATGTTTGGTCAGTACAGCATTCAACATTTCTTCTCTCTTACTTAATATTTTTAGCTATAATTGAAATTAATTACTTAAATAAACATTATATAATTTATTTTTGGATGTAATCATAACAACACACATTCAAAGTGCAATACTAAAGTTGTTAATAGATGATTGGAAAATGAATTAATTATGAGTACCATCTCTCCAATCACTGATTGTATTTTAAAAGTCAAATAGTTTCAAATATTGGACAGTGCATTTCAGGTCAAATAATTTCTAGTATTCAAATTCATACTGATTTTTGTATAAATGTTAACTATGATGATAAAAGATTGACATAATTAGTAAAAACAGGTTACAAAGTATAATAGCATTCATATTTATTTTTTAATTTTTTGTTATTCATATAAAAACAGTTTTTTTTTTTTCACACGAAAATTATTATAAATATAAAACTATTAATAAGTGAAAAACTCGTGAACTTTTTTAAAGATTTTTAATGCTTGAAAATATATCTTACACGAGCATCAAAATCTCGAATTTTTTCTTTATCAGTTTTAAGATTTTCTTCAATATTTATTGTACTAGTCGTAATTTCTGATAACTCTTTCATTCCACTGTCCACTTTTGCAGCTCGGTGATTCAAAATCTTGAGCTCGTGCTCTTGAACTTTCGCATCATTATCAGTTTCTTTCAAAGTGCTGTCAGTTCCTGTTTTTTTTCTAAAACTTTCTGAATTTTCCATTTAATAATTTAAAAACAATTATCACTTTTTGTTCAATATTACGCTACACTGTTTTTAAAGTAAACGATGATTAAAATGATGTTTTATGACTGTTTCGCTAATTAATGCTTGAATTTCAAATTACAGGTTCGAAATTTAATAATTTTTAATAAAAATATTTACATAAAGGCCTGTTTAATTTTTTGATTTTTTATCTCCTTATTGTATTGTTTCAGCAAATATTTATGCTGAATTTCCAATTGTCTTGTCCATCTTCCCTCAGCACTATCAAGTCGACTTTCAAGCTGTAAATCCGACAAATCAGTTTATTATTTTATCCGACCAATGAATCTATACTTAAAATAAACAAAGAAATTGAAGTTAACAATATAAGAGAACATCAAAGTATTTATCTCAACGTTTATATGCCATAGTTAGCGCTACAGTTTTTTTTTTCATCCATGTGATCATAAATTGTTTATTATTACATGATAGATTAAGATTAATTTATTCATGCAATCACTGATTACATTAATAAATGGCTGCTCGCACAAATGCTTATAAAATGCATAATTCAAATTTTGATATGTACCATTTGCAATGCATTTTGTGTTCTTTGATGAGAATCCTCAACTCGCTTCTGAAGTAAAGCTAAATTCGAAGAGACGTCATCATGTACCTGTAAAGAAATTCATGCTAAAAATTTTTGAAAAGTAACGAAAAAGCAGCCAGCTTGTGGAAAACTTTTGCTTAACTTAATGCATCAGTGATCTAATAATATACATGCTTATGCTGTTAGCATTTGCAAAAAGTTATTTCAAATATAGCTTAATGATTTAAAACCTTTAGCTGCTTCGTCAAGCCTTCAATGATAACCTGTGCTGTTTCCAAATCATTTGGTAATTCATGGAAAAGAGGACTACTCAGAGTTTTATCACCTTCCCTCTTAAAAGACATTTACTGCTGAAGAAGTTTCTTTATGGCAGTGATAATTAAATATAAACATTCTAATTATCACTACCATAAACATTTTAATCATATATATAAATATATATGCGCGTAAATAATTGTCTTTCATATTGGCTATTGTTGTTAACATGAATGAAAACAAAACAAACGCTGAAATCTCATTATGAATTGAAACAAAGCCACTGAATTGACATCTCATTAATAATTTACGAAGCGAACTTTCTTAATTTTGTTTTTTTTTCGAAAATGTCGGAATAAACTGCATCTTGAAGGCATATGTAACCCAGATATGGTAGAATCAGCAAATGGAATCCCAAGCAACCGACGGACACTTCCGCAAGGGTTAAGAATGACAGCCATATATCAGTTGTCCCTTAAATACTTGAGAAATCACTCCACTTCTATTCATCCAAATAATCATATCATTTCCCATAAATTCCCAATCGTTCTCTGCTAGCTTAACATTTACCGATTGTTTTGAGGTTTTTGTTACATGAGTAAAGATTTCCGTGACTACATGCAATAATCAAATTTGTTATAAACAGTTATGGTTGTAAAGTAAATGCTGTACGGGATAAAGAAATTCCTGATATATTCAAATAGCTGGGAAAATAATTCATTGCAAAGAATCAAGCGGAAATTAATATCACTATATAAAGTAATTAGTGCAACCGTTGCACAGTCTTCTAATGATACTCATTTTTATCGTTAAAGTAGCTTGCAAATAATAAACAGGATTTACTATTACAAATTTTAAAATTAAGTCCTGAACAACTTATTCACAACATACTTTGCAAAAACATTTCCTGATGGCAAGTACGAGTATTTTATTAATAAGATACCAGTCTAAAAGTCACAAAGAAAACAAAATAAGAAGCGCAATTTCAAAGTCAAGATTATGTCAGGGGGACTTGAATTTGACCATTTTAGTGCTCCGTTTTGTAGATTCTGGTAATCAACACATCTCCCAATGATAAATTACTTTCCGTTGCTAACAATGCATTATTTTCACAGTTTACAAGATCCACTGAACATGATATAGTTCCCTACAAATATTTAATATACTTGAAATAAAAAAAAGTTTCATAGTTTCAGAAATATATGAATTATCAATCCAACATCTTATCTTCAGAACTAGATCAAAATTTTTCCGATTCACTTCCACGCTTATTTTTACTAAATTATAGTAAAGCATAAGCTATACTTACTTTTAAGCGCTGTAAATTTGACAGCATAACACACAGTGATATACCATCTTCATTATCTTCTATTATCCTTTCCGTTGACACATCAAAATGCTAGAAAATACTATCATCGTCATAGAAATTTAAAATATTAAAGCAAAATTCATGATAAAAAGAAAATTCTAACGTTTCTGATTTTTCACAGAAAAAAAGCAAGAAAATACTTCCGAGCTTCAAGTGCCTGAATAAGTCTCAATATCTGATGCATATCTTCTAGATTAAAAGTATTATCAGATAAACCTTGGGAAAACGTAGATGTGCAACATATGAAAGGGCGGTAGATGACCGTTTTAACCTTGAACTTTCTGTGTTATTTTCATAAGAAAGTTCACTGACGCTACTAAATATGTATACTTTGTTTGTGAAATGCCCAGCATAATCGAACCAAATAGTTACACACAACTCCTCAGCCGAAAATACCACATATATTGGATTTGGTAGCTCTACAAGAAATAATATCAAATTGATAACAAACATCTCAATCATATTTACTATCATACAAAAAATGCACCTAGACAGTTTCAAATATCTAGTTTAATTAATTTTGGCAAAAAACATGCAACACTGTTAATAAAGAGCGACCAAGAACTATTCAAATCAAAGCAACCAAAAAATGGCTTTCCCTGGGGTAAGCTAGTTACTTTTCTTACATTTTGCTCTAATAAAGATAAACTAAGTTTTGACAAAAAATGCTCTGTAAATTGCAAGACATTCAATAACATAAAAATCATTTTCAAAGCATTCGAAAAATATAAGAGCTCCTTGGTATCTAATAAACCTCTCCTAAATAAAAAGTAATATCAATATCTGCGAAATCCTTCAAATTAATACCATGCATATAACGCCAGTGAAGTGTATGAAAATTGAATGATGTGGTGTGACCAAAACAAACTAATGGATCTCTCAATCCCCGTGGGAGAATTAAATTTGATTTGAGTTCCGGAATCTGTACGTTACCAACTTTTGCGTCATTCGAAACTTCTAAAAACAACAATATGGCTTTTAGTAAATCTTTGCAATGAGAAACCTTGAGATAAATAAATACTGTTCTCATATAAAAGTACTGAGAATATGATGGTACAATTATAGGGACGTACAATGACATTTGCGTCCTTGTAGCAGTGAATGGAAATAAATTACAATTACCATAAATTTTTTCTCTTTCCATCTCACTACAGATGAAAAATTGTTCTAGTCAATTATTTTCTCAACTCATCCATTTATTTTGCTATTAGCCAAATATAAAAATTAAAGAATTTAGATAATACGATACAGCAACAAACTGATACTCTCCGCACCTTGGAAAGTCCTCGTTAACATTTCGAGAACTGTTGCTTCATCTGCTACATGCCGCAATAAATGCTTCATAAACACGCCATTTTTTTCGCCACGTACTTCAAAAGCATTAATTCCACTGCTACTGAAAAAATAATGCAAAATATTTTCTTCAAGGAATTATCTATAATAAACTTTTTACTAGCAAAAAAAGATTACGTTGCATACACACATACAGTGTTGCGAGCTATGCCTGATTTTTTAATAGTATCCATATCATCAGAACTTTTCACCAAATCATTACATCTGAAAGATTGTAATAATTTTAACAAAATTACAATCAGAGATCATAAAATTCAGTAACATGGAAGTTCTCATTAAAAAACTGTCTGCTCAGGAGAACACAAGAACAATTAAAAAATAGTAGCACAGCTATACTTGATATTTTTCCGACAAACATCAAGAAGTATTAAATTCAAAGCTGGATGTGAGCTCTCCAAAACTGATAAAATCCAATCAACAGAAATAGCGTCATCCAATGAGTAATTAGAGATTGGAGCATCCACCGGCAATAAATAATTTTTTCCATTTCTTTCGAAACCATGACCAACAAAGTAGAAGATTGCTAAATTAGATATATTTTATAGTCTACCAATACGCAATATGCAAAATTAAAGAAAAATAACTCACCATATACTCCATCACCAAGAAGTTTTTGGTATTCACTGATGAAAAAATACATTTCTACAAGATTTAAATCTCCGAGAGTAACTGTTTTGTACCTGTAAATATCATTAGAGGTGACGAGCTTATCAATTCACACAAAATATAAAGATTAGATTCGAAAAAATAGGATATGTCCCACACTTCTCTATTTTAAACCAATGAAATTTTCTTTTGTAAGGAATGTCCTAGAACAAATGGCAAAAATAATAATCACCCTGCAATTTCATACTTACGCAAGATTTTGCAATGATTCTGCAAACATTTCAGCATCACAATGAGGAGTAACTAAACTTGGAATATTCATATAGTTACAATTGCTTATAATTAAAGCTACTTTATCAGTTGCAATTAATTCTGCATTCCATCCACCTGAAAACAACAACAAAAAACAGAGATTCGTAATGATTCCGCATTTATAAAACTAAAATTAGATGAAAATCTAACTAAAATTGTAAGATTTGATGATAGCTGCAAACAAAACCTGTATCACTACGGCTATTCTGAGTACTGCCAGACAGTAGAGGTGGTAAATTCTTGCTTCCGACACATCTTGTGCAAGTGTTTACTGCAACATGAAATTATTGCACTATAATCCAAGAATGCAACATTGCTTGCTTCAAAAAGTGCTACAGAGATAACAATAACTGCATAACAAAATTTTTACAAAATGCGAGACACATAAAATGCATAACTACTGAAAACTGAAAAGAACAAAGTTCTATGCAATACATTTTAAATCATCGGTTAGAAATGATGAGATATTTATTCCATTTGTTATTAGATGAGATCGAAATGGCTTTTCGCGGTTTCGATAAAATAATGAATATTCAAAGCCTTCTTCGATTTCATTCCAAACTTTACATTTATAAATTAGATTACTTCTACATTTACATCTGAAATGTCTATTATTTGATTTCTGAATTCAGTACCGTGATTCCTACATTTTTCAAAAATTCATCCTTGGTGATTAATAAAAAAGAGAAAGAACAAATGAAAGTACCTAGTAATGAGAAATGCTTTTCCAGTTCCACCTTCTACTTCTTTTTCATTTTCTAGCCACTGAAAATGGGGCCAAGGGAAACCCCGAGCATGACAAACTAGTTGCAGTAAACAGTTATCAGTACCCAACACTTTTATAGTGACAGGTTCTTCAGCGGTCCATTTTACTGGTACTGCAAACACATTTCACATAATTGTAATGGGCACTTTTGAAATCTTATTTTTTAATCTTTATCTTTAGAACACTATATGTAAAAGAATGGTATAATTATTGACTAAACAAAATTCAGAACTTATGCCTATTGCGAAAATTAAAAAAAAAAGAGAATGCACCAAATTTGCGTCTTAACGACAGCTGAGGCCCATCCATGGAATTCCCATGAAGTTTCGACAACTGTTGAAGTTTAGCCAGTAAACTTTTAATACTGAGCCCATGATTGCCCCAGAAATAAAGAATTACAGAACCTTGATTTGTGGAACGCAAAACACTATCATATTCGGAAACACTGAAAAACTAAAATGAAAGTTTGATTTGTTATAATAATGATAACATTTACAAAATGGATAAATGATTCAAAACTTGCACCTCAGCTATCGTGTGACAAGAATTTGATTAAAAATAAGATTTGATCAAAAACATTTCAGATTGATTCGTGGAAGTGACGTAGATAATTGAAATAAATTAATAATGCATGAAAGTAGGTTTTCACAAACAAAATTAATAAAAATAGAGAATTAACCTCAGACTAAAAGGACCGTTTGATGAGCTATCAACCAACTTGGTCCATACATTTTGGAAGTTTAAAGCAAAAGACAAACGCAAATTAACACTATTTGGTAGTTCTGCTAAATTTGTTGATAAATCATATTCGTTGGCAGAAACATGGCCACCACATCCTGCTGCATTGACTTGCATTTTTTATAATATCTGCAGTAAACCCAAAATATTGGAAATTTCTCAGTTTTATATTAACAAAAAACATCCAATTGCTTTTTTTGGCATGAGTTACCACTACTCATCAGTTACTAATTGATGTTTGTTTGATTTGTCGGCAGACTTTTTCTAGCAAATAAAACAAAATCATAACCAGTGAACTATCTTTCCAGCTTACCTGTAATTTTTTTCATTTATCCTTTGCTGTATCATGATAACAAGTTTTACATTAATTTCACATTTTCTAGTTAAAGATTACAGTGCAGCTGAAATAGTAACAAGCATTCTAAGAATTGAACTTGATTTGTAGTCAAACAGTGAAACGGACTATACATGATTACCATGGTTTAATTCGGTACATTTGAGACTTACAGAACGAAATCGAAAACTAAGACAGAAGCGAAATATGCGCTTCACTTCTATCCCACAGTTATTTTCGCAAAAAAATAAATGCGAGAATGATACCTGTATAACTGTTTGCAGTGAAGGTGTTAACTTTGCGGTGATGCTGATCTCAATACCATATTTTTGGCTTCTGTAATGAATGATTAATAATATTTTCCTGAGGGAATATGACAACTGTTCAAACTAACGAAAACTCTCTGTTTTGCATTGAAAAATGAATTGAACTGATTCAGCTGATCAAGCATTCATATATTTCGAATGCATCACAGTAAATCTTGTAACATACACGACCAACAGACTGCAATTTACATGGTAAACAAATCTTCAACAATTACTCATCATCCATACTCTGAAACATCATGCTACAACTCTATCAACTGCTAAATTTGGATGAGATTATAAATTGCATAACGGGATAAAAAGATGACCATTGTTATTCATGAGCATGACACAGTTTAATGGTTGGGGAGTATGACCTTGTATTATGATGAGAGATCATGGCGTGCGTACATGCATGGATGGGATAATGCATGTATAAAGTATAGATGTGAAGGGAATACGAGTGCTATCTACGCGTTTTATTAAGTAATTACTGGCAATTCTAATTTTATTTGAAAATTTCTTGGATGGGAAGAGAACTCGCTGTTGAAAGATGGTTTTTAATGTCTTAGCGGGAAAATTGTGTGAGTAAAGTTATAAATAATTAACAAGACTAGTAATTGAATTTAGCACTCTTTTGTTAATCTCTAAATAGGTATCGTTCGTGAAAAATGGTTAGACTTATTTTCTAATTTTTTGTTGGCATTGTTATTTTTGGCAGTACAAGTTATACTTCATTTGTAATGTTTTTCATTGAAAGTAAAAGTTGATAGGTATTTGGTCTGCAGCATAGGAATAATAGTAAGAGTATAGAGTAAATGTTTAGTTAGCATTTAACTTGAATGGATTAGGCTAGATGACGTATTTCCAGAGTAAAATGTTTGTTGGCAGTTACCGTAATGGCCTAATTTGATGCTTATAGCGATTTCTTACTGTTCGGCGCTTTGCCAAAGACTGAGCGCTTCTATCTCTACGTCTCTGTCATTCTCGACAAGGGCATAGTGAATAAGTTGAAAAAAGGAAAATGGATAGGAATGGAGAGAGAGTGATGGGTAGTTGTTTGGTGGCGAGATAGTGAATGAATGATGGAGATAGAGAAGGAGAAGGAAGTAATAAATGAATGCATGGCAAGCAGTTTGTTTGCTTGCACAGCATTGCCATTATGAGATGGTTGGTTGGTGGGCCGAGAGCAGGGCAAGTGTGGGTTGTGTGGTTGTGGAGCTATGGAGTGTAAGGTGTAAGGAGAGGGTAGATAGGTAAATAGATAGATAGATAGATAGATAGATAGGTTGATAGATAGATAGACAGATAGGTTGATAGATAGATAGACAGATAGGTTGATAGATAGCGGATGGGTAAGGTAGAGAATTTGAAATGTGAATGCAAGCAGCTGCTGCTACTGCCGCTGCCGCTACCGCTGCCGCTGCTGCCGCTGCTGTTGCTGTTGCTGTTGCTGTTGCTGTTGCAAGGCGTGTTATTGTCGCTTGCACAGAGGGCGTACATTGTGCAGGTGCGATAAATTCAGCAGCTGCACGGTATAATTATGCCGGTTGTTTTAAAATAAATTTTTTCATTAGTTGGTTTTACAAGTTTTTTGTATTAAGTTATTATTTTTGTTCATCTTTTCATTAAAAGGTTGCATAAATTTCAAGTACTACTCATTGGAAGTGTGTGGATTCCTTTATTCATGGCTGTGAGTGAAACGATGGCACACTGGTGCAGGCTGCTAACTGCAGTGTGTGAATGCGTTCTTCTTGTACAGTAGCTGATGTTAGGTTATTCGTCGTTTATAGGTCTTATAGCTAACTAACTTGCTTACTTTATTTCAATTTTCTTTGCCCTACTGCATAATGTAATCATACTATTCTGTTTTGTTGGTTAGCATAACTTTCTGTTTCTGCATGCAAACACGCTTCTTAGCTTCTTTCTGCTGTTTTCATATTAACCATATCTGAAGTCCGCGTCATATTACATCGCGTAACGCTATGGCAGTATTATGCATTGCTTCAGGCTGATAATATTTCAATGCTCATTTATTTTTTTAGCTTTTGAATGTAAACTGTACTTTTGCTTGCATGATTTCATGTTTATTTTGTAAAGGTAAAATTTAGGTCAGTTGTAAACTATTTTATGAAGAAGGAGCATGTAATCAATTCTCCTTGTTTCATAATCAGAACAGTTTACCTATTTATGGTCATGTTAGGTTATAGATCGATAGATCCATTACTAGGTTGTTATGTTCTTCACATAAAATGTCTTTATCATAGCACAGTTGGATTTGATGAACCGCTTGATGATTTTAACCACATGTAAATTAAATGCGTGAATGCTGTAGAAGAGTAAACTGCTTGTTTGTAGATTTTTGAATGCTGCTGGATACAGCACAATGTCGACACAGTGAAAGTGCTTTTTCGCGCTTGTTTGGTTTTTGACGGATTTTCAAGAGGGCATATGTATGCATGGAACCACCTGCAGAAACATCTTGCTCTCAACAACTTACATCCGTCAATAACAATAATAACAATACTAGTAATAATGCAAGCAGGTTACAAGCAATTTCATGTCATTTTTGCTTCAGTTAAAGTGGGTTTCGTCTTTTAAGAAACACAGTTGGAGCATCTTCACGTGGGCACATATTGATAAGATCGTGTAGATCTTAGTGCACCAAGTTGTGAAGAACTGCTTAGTGTTAAGAGTGATCGTAAGAGTAGATACTTGCTTACAAATCAGTCGAAATTTCAAAGAATGGTTTTGTGACCTCGTCTTCATTCCTATAGGAAAGAAGACGTTTTTTTTCTTTTTTCGGCTGAGATGAAAGAAGATAAATTTTATTTGTGCTTATTCTGTATATCTGTCTTGTGATTGTCGCGAAATATATGTTATGTGAAGCATGAAGAGTCTTTCAAGATGCCACTGAATGCATGCTGGTTAGGTTTATTGTAACTGAGTTTTCAGTCTGGATGAGAAAGTAACACAAATGTTGGAGCGAGGTGCATCCGCAGCACCACCAACTACCTATCAACTTCAGATTGATCCTAACATTACATTTAATTCTGTGAACCGTCCATTTGAAGAGTTGCCAGAGAATTTCTTGGAAAGCATCAGTCCCCAACAAAACCAGGCTTCTGCATCGCAAGACAGTCCACAGCTGGTATCATTGGCACCTATGAGTATTGGTTCAAATGACAAGTGAGTGTCAAAGTGTTATAATGTTAGCATTTACAGCTTTCATGTTTCCCACTTAGCATAAAAATACGTTTTGTAGTTCATCTGTTTCCATATTGCATTGTTTTATTAAATAATCTTCCTAACTATTTGTTATGGAGATTTTGATTACTGAAAATTCGTTTTGAATGCTTCATACAGCACCGTAGTAATTATTACAGGATCTCTATTTTTCAATGTATGTTGCTTGTTGAGGTGAATATAAAGACGGTAAATTGCGTCATTGCAGCTTCGGAAAAACGTTTGATTTCAGTGCGTACGTAACCTTAGCACCCATGTCTGCGACACCTTCTTATGTGGGCACAATGAAAATTGAACCATTGCAAGACCAGATTCATAGTACATCAATGCAGCATAACAGTCACTCTTCTAGTTTGGATAAGCTGAGGTAACTCTACGTAAATTTCTCCTGGACGGTTGTCGGTTTTATGTGGTGGCAATAGTTTGTACCAGAGACAACATTTTTTAAAAATAAATTTATCACAGTAACAAGATCGAGAAATTAATGATATATAGTAAAATGTATGTCCACATCCATTATTTTGTGAGTATCAGGTATGTACAATGTATCGTGATTTCGTGTATATACATTGTGTAGTGGTTAGTTCAATATCAACTGTAGCTAACCGTTATTATGAAGATTCACTATTCCAATTTCTAATCTCTCATTATCTGAAAGTCTTTGTTAATCATACTAAACTTTCAAGGTTTTAAAATCTAATGAGTCATTTTAGTTTTAGCTCTGGGCCGGCTGGTCTTCTTTCTCCATTACAAACAAACACGCGATCAGATAATTTGGTGTGTGCAAATTTACTGGACGCTCATCAAAACGGCAGTCGAGCTAGCGAAATGTTGGCTAATTTGAGAAGACATCCGTATATCAAAGAAGAGGTTCGAATTTCATACATGTACAAGACGAATTAATTCTTGGGTTTTTAAAATGAATTTGAAATCATGTTAATTTGCACATGTCATTAAAGATTTGTGACTCATTGGTTTTGCACTGTTTCTTTATCAGGTCGATCTTGGACAGGACTTCAAGACAATGGATTCGCCATTTATATCCCATCAATCACAGCAGTCGGTATGTGGTTAAAAGCAAATAAATATGATTGAAAAGTTGAGATATGTGTGAATTAGATTTCGTCTTCTGTTACGATTGAAAGTTATCATTATAATATTACAGTCTGTGACAGAGTCGTTCCGTTTCTAAGTTTTTTGATATTTGACGAAATGTTCTAGACTAGTTTGCTGAATCAAGATGACCATCAACAGGAACTGGACCATCGTTTAGCCAATGCTGAAACTCCACCTGCAGTGAGCAATGTTGAACTTGCGAGTTCTTTTATTGCAACTATGATAGGTGAACAGGTGTGCATTGTTTTAGTATCACTAATTATGGTAATTTTTCCTGTTCTCATCATTTGAGCAGATAATCTCAACAAAAGTTCGTACTACATTGTTTTGTTCCTTTCGTTTTAAATGTTTTTGGTAGTTTAGGCTTAAAATGTTTATGCTATCACTCTTAAATGCAGTTCTTTGAATATGTGTTCTCTACTTATGATGGTTCTCTATTTTTTTTATCATGACTTTTATTTCACCAATGTTATATGTACGTTGAAGACAGTATCATTTCAGCCTCCTAGTTCACCTGCTCCGCGGCAAGCAATATTTCGCCAGAATCGACGTAATTTTTCTCTCAATTCATCGGAATTGCGTAGCAGTGATGATCTTGAAGTCAATGCAGCAGGAACAAGCACAGATGATTTAACGTTCTCTGATGATAATGGTGAACCAACCAGCACAACGAGACTTACTTCTAACGCTGGTTAGTCTCCACGAGCACTACAGAAATTTATGGAATCATTGTCTTGTCTCTGAATCCTCAGGTTGTATTCTAGTATTAAATATTAATTAGAGTTCAGTGCGCAACTTCTTTAGGTGGACCTCGTGCTAGCTATTCTACGAAAGATTCCACTGATCCTTTGAACGCAGAGATAGACGATGACATTTATATCGATACCACTGATCTGTGTAAACGAATTGCTTGGGAACTTAAGCAGCACTCCATACCTCAAGCTATCTTTGCTGAAAGAATTCTTTGCCGGTATCACTTTGTCATTATTGTGTTAAATATCATTACTTGACTAAGATTTCATTATATTTAAAGATCTGTAGTGCATTTTATAATTTTCCAGTAATTTATAGAAATTTTAGTTAACTTTCACTTGATGTACGACCTTCAGAAATGTTTGCGTATTCATGTCATATCATACGTCCTTCAGTTGATTGCTGTTCCTAAACTTATATCTGTTGCTAGATAAATGATTGAAGTAATGCCTTTACATTTTGTGCTTACTAATTTGAGATGAGAGTAATGCTATTTAGCATGAGTAGTAAGCAAATTATTAATATTCTTATGCAATTATGTTTTTTGTTCAGTAGTCAAGGTACTTTGTCCGACTTGCTGAGGAATCCAAAGCCGTGGAATAAGCTGAAATCTGGAAGGGAAACATTTAGAAGGATGTTTAATTGGGTTCAGCAACCTCTTGAATTGCGATTGGGTATTCTTGATATGTACAAAGGCAAAGGTAATAATGTTCTTCCTATCTGTATAATTATATTTTCGATTTTGATGAAAATTTTCATTCACAGAATATTATGTTTTATTGTAATATGTTCAGGTATGTTGCCAGCATCATTGACTCCGCCCACGCCAGCACAAAACGCGCGCCAGGGTTCACGACATAAAGGACGAGATGGTGATGGTGATTTTTTGTTTAAAGCTTGTTTACTGATCTTTTTTTCCATACAGACAAACTATATAAATAAAATGTTACAGGCTTAGGTGGCACCAAGAGGCCGAGACTGGTTTTCACGGATATTCAAAAGCGGACTTTACAGGTGAGTTTTTAGTTTCTGCGTAGTGTTTAATTTTATTCAAAATCTTTCGTTGTCAACAACTGGCTTTGGTTTAGAATCAGAAAATTCTGATGCTCGTTACAGGCTATTTTCAAAGAAACACAACGTCCAAGTCGTGAGATGCAGCAAACAATAGCTGAGCATCTACAATTAGATCTGTCAACGGTAGCAAACTTTTTCATGAACGCTCGACGGCGTTCCAGAAGTGGTCCTCTGATGGGTGATGCTCCAGCACCTTATCAGCAAGTATAGTTCTTGAAATAATCATAGGAATAGTTGGGTCCATAGCTTTAATTGGTGTACATTTATTGATTATCAAAGTTGTTTCAGATATTGAACCAATGTTTTCTCAAAAGAATTCAGTAATGATAAATCAATAGATTTTGAAGATCATTGTGTACTGTACTGAAGAGTAGAAATTATTTCCCAAATTTTAAATAGGTGCGACCAATAACTCCACCTCCAGAATCACCACCACCAAACCGATGTTCAAGCAAAGCACGAGTAAATCGTCACATCTCCCATAGTATTCCGGACAATACATCTGTTTCAACTAGTTCACGAATCGAAACAACAGTTGCCCAAGTCGTAGAAGAAGCTGCAGAGTATGCACGGCGCTTTGATGAGGTTATTTAAATGAAGCCTTTTACATTCAAAGTTCTTTCTGTTTCTAGTGTCAGAAGTAAACCAACTTGCATGAAAATGATGTTAAGAATGAATTAATTCAAAGTTCTTATTATAGAATACAGAAATAAAATTTTCTGTCATGAGCACAGTGTATTTTAGTTCAATTTTGTAGGGAGTGTTCTGTGATGAAAAAAATCTCAAGTTCCGCATTGGTGAAATGAATAATGGTATTTCATTAGGGAACAGTAATTCAAGAATTGATTACGACGACCAAGCGCCTGAGTATAAAGTAATTCAAGATTGGATGAGCTTTTTTTTTTCATAATTTTACTGATTCTTATTTTCTGACGATTCAGCATTATCTAGTTTACTAATATCAGTCTGTTGAAATGGCGGAGCTGACAGAGAATATGAAAAGTATTGTAAAAATCTTTTAATTTCCTTGTTTTTGCAACGCAGGACTTGTATTGTATATTCTGTCGCAAATTTTTTGTTTCAGAATTTCTGATTGCAATCAATTTTGTATTTTGTCATTATTTCAGATGATCCGGTTATCGAATGAACAATCTCTTTCTATAGATTCGAGGCAGATTACGACTGCAGAAGAACTGCTTGCAGGTGAACTTCCAGACAGTGAAGTGCAGGTAAATCGTAACCCAAATTCGAACATGCCGACGATTAAGATGGTGAGTGTTCCAGTTATTGAGCAACGTCCCTTTGAAAGATTTTCAAGAAGTATTTGGTCTTGATGGTGGTTTGCTCGAAGATTTGTTTTAATGAGTTGCATAAGGTCGTTTCATCATTAAATTTTACTATTTGTCATTGAATGTGACTGTATTGTGCAGTAGTTATTTGCTACAATATGGTTTTGTCTTTTATTGTCTCCTGTTTAAACATAGTTTATAGCTCTAATTGTCTATGCTTATATTTGAAGAACAAGCAAGATTACTCTTAAAAGAATGTGCTCATTATTTTAGGACCCAGCAATCGAACAGCAGCGGTGTCACCCGGTGATGACTTTTGGTAGCAAAATGATAGTTGTAAAAGTAGAACGAGATAATTCATCTTCTGATTCTGCTGTTGCTAATTCACACTGAGTATTAAATTCTGGTCGCAGTAATTTCTAGGTCTTTTCTGAATCATCAAAAGACAAGCTAATTAAAGCTTAATTGTTTTGTACTTTGATGCTATTCCGAGAAATCGGTTGCCAAGTACTTGTTAGTGTACAAGTTTGCTGCATTGTGATATTGCAGATCTCTTTTTTATGCTGCTAAATGAATAATTATTTTAAGCTTCACGTAAATATGTATACCTGGAGAAACGAATATTTAGTCTTTGTGTCTCAGACGATATTTTTTACTTGCAATGTAGTTACAAATTTTTTAGATGACATCAGTGTGTGGTAAAATTTTGTTGCGTTTCTGTTTGTCAAATTTCTTCTCAGTATATTTTGGAAGCCATTTTAAACCCAATTTTCCACTGTATGTGAATTTTGTTATTTAGTATAGACCAGTCAGTTTTTACGTATATATGCTATCCTTCTCTCACTGGTGTCATTTTTGTTGCTATCAATATTTTTTGATTGACGAGATTTGTGGAAATATCCTCCCATTTCCAACCACTAATTATTTCAAAAGGGAAATAGAATACAGTCTTCTCAATATGAAAGTTTGTAGTTTTTGTAATATATGGGAAGTAGCTTTCTTAAGAGCCAAAAAAGGGAGAAAAGTTGTTGTTTTACAATGATATCTAGATTTTGTAGCATTCCAAACCTCACTTCATACTTGATAAATGTATTATAAGTTGCAAGCTTTAATGACTAGTAGGGATGATATCGTAGAGCATGATCAAGTATTACATTTTTCCATTAAAAAGCACACTGCTATGGAGTTGCACATTTTTCTGCAACATGTGTGCTGGATGTCCACCTCTTAGTCAATCCGACTGTTGAAAATCTTGTCAGTTTAGTCAATCCAACTGTTGAAAATCTTGTCAGTTTCCTAAACATTCCAAGCATTGGGAACCTTATGTGGCTTGTAGATCAGTTTTTGGTGTTCTAGGAACTGGGAGGATACATTGTCTTTAAAGTTTATGGTATAATCTAACGCGACTTCCTACATTACGAGAATCCAGCTCATCCATGTGGAAATTTCGATTGACAATATTTAGTGGAATCGTAATCTGAGGAGCTGTGAGATGGTTGTCGTTCTGATTTTGTGTGCAAAATTTTCATTTGTATAGCTTTGGTGAAAATTTTGTTTTCCTTTTTCTTCTACAGGATTGTTTTGGTCTATTGTTAAATTAGCAAATGGAGTGGGTTTCTAGTCATCTAAGTGAATGATAAATTCTATTCTATTGAATTTAAGTTCCTGTTTGCAATTTTTTGGATAAGGGTCTGTGCGAGTCATGTCAAGGTCTGAAACTTTATAAGATTTTATGTCGTTTCTTTCTTTTACTATGTTAGGCTATTCCGAATACCTTTAAAAGACTGTTTCCTAATAGTTCCTTTCTTGGGTATCCCATGTTCGTGTTTTTTTGATTAATAGTATTTTTTTTTGTAACCTCCTAATCTTTTAAAATCGTTAAATTTTTAATGGAAGTATTGTTTGTTACTAATCAGAAAATAATAACTGTGTAAATAGCGTTCAGTTTCATGCATAACAAACTTTTCATTTAAAAAACATTGTGTACCTAAAATGCTTTGTTCTTGGTGCTGTGTGAGATTTGCTTCAAAGTTATATACATTTGATAAATTGACGTACGCAGATGGAATTATGGATATTGTGGATCATTAAAAGAGGAAACGATAAGTGCGTTTAGGTAGTTCTGGCATTTGCAACAGGTTCAAGGGGAAGGTACATGGACTGGTACGTTTCAGTAATTTAAGTTCGGACATTCTTTTAAGGATTTCGTTGTAGAGGGCATTTTTATATTAATAGTCGTGTGTGGTTAAAGATAGAGAAGTAGTGAATAATTCAGTTTGTTATATGCTCAACTTCATTGTTTCTTGAAGTGATTAGTATTTGTGAAGGCTAGATGGGGACAGTTTCCATAATTTTATCATTAGTAGTGTACATGGTCGAAATTTCTGTCTATATGGTTAGTAAGCAGTGTGAGTTTAGATTGATGAAGTGCTGCTATACTATTCAAGTGAATATGTAGTAGGAGAAAATAAAGAAGTGTGCGATTCATCCATGTATCATTCACCTAGTCGAAATGAGAGATTGTTGAAGAACATGTTATGAATTGCAAACCAAATAATTTCATCCATTTAAGTTTAACTTGAAAGCGAAGCAGTATTTGGCAAATATTCCAAGACAAATGAGTTATTCGATCATGCCAGAAATGAAGTCATATTGTGCATCATTTAATGAGATAGTGGAAGTGAAGTCGAAAGAAGCAAGCTATTATTGAACAAACAAAAGTAGGGTAGAAACGCATTGCACTGATCATTTAATTAGTATCAAAAATTTATGCGAACAAGTTGTCCAAAATAGTCGGTTCATCATTGAATAGTATTGTATTATTTCAGATTCTATAAACTGTATGATTTCTAAGAAATTAATCGACAGTACAGTAAGATCAAGTGTTTTGTGCGAAATCTAATACATTCTGATAATTGTTCACAGGAAATAAAACATGAGTCTATAGTTTATTATGCATTGTCTTTGCTCCTTCGTTTAAATTTTTACATATATTCAATATCAGGTATAGAGATTAAATCGTGTTTAAAAAAAATTCATCAGACAGTTATAAAAACTAAAATTGTTGATAATAGTCTAAATATCGTGCGTAAATAAATGTAATACCTGTTTACATATGTTGGTAGATGATTGTTTGTTTGATTTTTTTGATTTAATTTCATCAATTTTACGTGAGCTCCGGGTATTTATGCAAATTAGCAGGTGAGTTGATTGCTTTTTACCTGTAATTAATTAGTTTATTTTTTATTCTGCATGAAATAACTATATATAGAAAGCGGAAAAAATTTTTACCAGTAAAAGTTTGAAGAAAAGCTTGCCGATATTTTTTAGAAAATATGCTATATAAGATAGGGTTGCAAGCAGAATTGGAATAATAACAGCAACCTGAAATGAATGAATCAATTATAATATGTCTACTTCTAGTTAATTAATTATAATCCCAGTATTATTTATATTTTAGCAAATTTAAAAAATGATAGAATTACTTTAGAAACAGTTTTAAAATTTCAAATGATAATTGATAGTCCTTAAACTGATTGCAGTCAGTAGTAACTCATAAATTTACCTGAAATATAAAATACTGAGGTGAAAATAATGTGAAGAGCATTACCACTGTGATCATCGGTTTCCATAAAAAATATAGATAACAAGCGTTGCAAGTGAAATGGCAACCATGACAGGAAGAATACTATCACAACCGATGCTAGAAGGTCAAACTAGTGCTGAACTATTATTTAAGTTATTTCTATCATAATTGTTTTTATTGATCAGGTGAAATTAATGTGCAGTTATAGTTATACATAAGTGATACTTATAGCTTGATTGTACTGATAAATAATGAACAAAAAAATCTAACTTGAGAAATTTAGCTTAAGAAGAATTCTAAGTAATGATCGTAAGTAAATCTATTATTTTTTGGTGACTTTATTCAAACTCTCATATTTTTGACTTACTTCCTTTTCATTAATTGTTTGATGATGATAGCTTCTGACTAAATCATACCTAACACTTTGATTACTGAATTTTTCTGGGTTGCGGATTTACCGATACACGATTGCCCATCATTTTTTCTATATTTATCAGCTTGGTACAATTTAATACCGATCAGAAAATATGCAACTGTTATCAGTACTGCTAAAATGAAATTGAAAATCAAAAAATGATACATTACAAAATTGCTCTTAAAATAATCATTTATAAAATTTTTAGCAAAACAAAAATGTAATTAGTTGTACTTTTTTAAATGAAAGAGGATGTTATGATGTGACATGCAATTTTTTATAACAAAAAAATTAATGAATTTCATTAAATAAGTTCATAAATATCAGAATATCAACAAGTCACATCCTTCATAATTATAATTTTACGACGAATATTTCATTCGCATCTCTGACAAATTCAATTTCTTCAGATCCTTCATATATATATATATA